GGGCCCCCCACTCGACAAATTCTGGCCCAGAACCTACCCACGCCCCCCACCTGGCCCCTCCCTCGTCTGGCATTCTCACCCCGACAGAATTCTGTTCTCGGACCCCCCACTCGACAATTCTGGCCCGGATCCTACCCACGCCCCCACCTGGCCCCTTCCTGGTCTGGCATGCTCACCCCGAGAACACTTTTTCCTTGGGACCCATCACTCGACAAACCCTTCGCCCAGACCCTACCCACGCCCCCCACCCGGCCCCTGCCTCGTCTGGCATTCTCACCCCGAGAGAACTACCTTCTTGGGACCCTCCACTCGACAAATTCTGGCCCAGAACCTGCCCACGCCCCCCACCTGGCCCTCCTGGTCTGGCATTCCCACCCCGAGAGAACTCTGTTCTTGGGACCCCCCACTCGACAAATTCTGGCCCAGATCATACCCACGCCCCCCACCTGGCCCCTTCCTGGTCTGGCATTCTCACCCCGAGAGAGTTCTACTCTTGGGACCCCCCACTCGACAACTTCTGGCCCAGAACCTACCCACGCTCCCCACCTGGCCCCTTCCTGGTCTGCCATTCTGACCCCGAGAGAACTCTGTTCTTGAGCACCCCCACTCGACAACTTCTGGGCCAGATCCTACCCACGCCCCCCACCTGGCCCCTTCCTGGTTTGGCATTCTCACCCCGAGAGCACTCTGTTCTTGGGGCCCCCCACTCGACAAATTCTGGCCCAGAACCTACCCACGCCCCCCACCTGGCCCCTCCCTCGTCTGGCATTCTCACCCCGACAGAATTCTGTTCTCGGACCCCCCACTCGACAAATTCTGGCCCGGATCCTACCCACGCCCCCCACCTGGCCCCTTCCTGGTCTGGCATGCTCACCCCGAGAACACTTTTTCCTTGGGACCCATCACTCGACAAACCCTTCGCCCAGACCCTACCCACGCCCCCCACCCGGCCCCTGCCTCGTCTGGCATTCTCACCCCGAGAGAACTACCTTCTTGGGACCCTCCACTCGACAAATTCTGGCCCAGAACCTACCCACGCCCCCCACCTGGCCCCTGCCTGGTCTGGCATTCTCACCCCGAGAGAACTACCTTCTTGGGACCCTCCACTCGACAAATTCTACTCTTGGGACCCCCCACTCGACAAATTCTGGCCCAGAACCTGCCCACGCCCCCCACCTGGCCCCCTCCTGCTCTGGCATTCCCACCCCGAGAGAACTCTGTTCTTGGGACCCCCCACTCGACAAATTCTGGCCCAGATCATACCAACGCCCCCCACCTGGCCCCTTCCTGGTCTGGCATTCTCACCCCGAGAGAGTTCTACTCTTGGGACCCCCCACTCGACAACTTCTGGCCCAGAACCTACCCACGCTCCCCTCCTGGCCCCTTCCTGGTCTGCCATTCTAGACACATAAAACAGAAAGGGATCTACCCCCCCCCAGCGTTATCGGCACCCCTTTCGGGTATGTACATCATATATGGCTCTGGCCACATGTCCATCCTAAATATGAATTTGCACTATCCCAGGCCAGCCGGGTTCCCCCCCCTGAGGTTCCCTGGTAAAAACACTATGCGGTGACATTTTTTGTTCTAACATAGCACTTTTTCGCGAATCCCTTGCAAACAACGGGACGAACTGCACACGCGCGCGTCGTCGCGCGCGCATGCCGAAATCCTTCAAAAACCTTCCGTGCCGGAAAGATATCGCAATCGAATTTCCAATTATCCTGGCGAAGGACCAAATCATAAGCAATTGTTCGGAACGCGTTGTGGGTGCCGCTTTCGGTGGGGCTCCCTATGGGGCCACGAGACGCTGCTCTGGGCGGGGGAACCGCATGCGAACTGCGCCAGTGGGGCGGGCCTTCGGTGGAGCTCCCTATGGGGCCACGAAACGCTGCCCTGGGCGGGGGAACCGCATGCGAACTGCGCCACTGGGGCCTTCGGTGGAGCTCCCCATGTGGCCACGAAGCGCTGCCCTGGGTGGGAGACCTCGGCATGGGATCGGCGATCCGTCGCCGACAGATCGGCGATGGGCCCCCGATTGCGACTCCGCGCGCTCCTGGGCGGGGTGGGCTATATCGGGCCCCCATCGGCGATCCGTGGGCGATGCGCGGTCGACGCATCCCCCCCCCCCTGAGCCCATCCCTCCCTCTGGCCATCGCTCGGACGTCCATTCCCTGTGTTTTTTTTTCGGTTTCGTGCGTGGCTTTGTTCGCCAAATGATCAGGGATGCTCCTCGATGGCCCTCGCCGAAGGAAAAATCCACACGTCCGAGCGATGCCAAGTCCCTAGGGCTGCCCCCGAATAGAGCTCGGCACGCGCTCGTGGCGAGCTGCCGAGACCTCTGGCGGTCCGACGATCGAGGACAGCGTAGTGTTGCGGGCACGCTCTGAGCGTTCTGTTGCGCCTCCAGAGCTGTCTGAGGGCCGGGCCTCCGGGTACAGTCATCGGCCTGACCTAAGGAACGAAGCCCCTTTTTTATCCCAAGCCGCTCACTGTACGTCCGGGAAGCTCCTGAGACATGGGGGGGGCCCAAACCTCCCCTGCAGAAGCAGCATCATGGATTGTCACGACCAGAACCCTGGGCCGAACCCCAATATTTCTGGTGTTTTTCTCAAGCTGGATCGATTTGCGGGGGCCCCGAGGGCCCGAACCTGGACGAGAAAGCACAATGTGAAACGAATTGCGACGCCTGGACCTCAGAGTCTGGCGGCTCTCCGCTTCATTGTTTCTGAACTCTTCCCTGGTTTGATCCGTCGCGGGACTGTCAACAAAACAGCAGACTGGCCCTGAGGAAAAGGTCGATACATCTGGGTGGCAACGACACATAAAAATCGTGGCGCCCCCAGATATCGGATGCCTCTGAAAAATCAAAGCGGCCAGTTCGTTGCGAGGTTGAAACTCTGGAAGCCAATGTCGGACCTCGGAGTTGTCAAGAAACGACTCAAAATGAAAAGCCTATCTTGGGGAAGGGGTCGAGAGGATCAAAGGCCCGCGCATCGAAACATGATCGACCCAGGAACCCAGACAGGAATATAGAACTGTAAGGAATGGCAACGCTTCAAAGACACCTGATTGGGCGACGGGTAAATGCAATACTGAGTGTATCGATATTGATGTAACATGCCGAAGGATGTGCTGTGATGCGCCGTGCTGAATTGCGATGTGCCATGCCGAGATTGTGCCTTGTAGCGTTGTGGATCGAGTCCTCCTTTTGCATCCGAGTCCTGACCGAACTGATCTAGATCTTAAGCTCGACCTGCCTGAACACTTAGTAGCTGCCCCAGAACTAATTGACAAGGGAACATGCCAGGAGGACGCGCCGCGAAACGTCCCAAAGGACGCGCCAAATGACGTGCCAGGGGACGTGCCACGGGGACGCACCGCGGGACGTGCCGAGGGGACGCGCTACGGAACGTGCCAATGGACGTGCCACGGGACGTGCCAAGGGACGCGCCGCGCGACGTGCCAGGGGGACTCGTCGCGGGACGTGCCACGGAACGCGCCAAGCTGCAATGCTGAGTGTATCGATCTTGATGTACCGTGCCGAGGGTTGTGCTGTGCTGCGCCGTGCTGAATTGCGATGTGTCATGCCGCGAGTGTGCTCTACAAGGTTGTGAATCGAGTCCTCCTTTGCATCCGAGTCCTGACCGAACTGATCTGGATCGTAAGCTCGAGCTGCCTGAGCACATAGTAGCTGCCCCAGAACTAATTGACAGGGGAACATGCCAGGAGGACGCGCCGCGGAACGTCCCAAAGGACGCGCCAGGCGACGTCCCAGAGAACGTGCCATGGGGATGCACTGCGGGACGCGCCAAGGGGACGCGCTACGGAACGTGCCAATGAACGTGCCACCTCATGCTAGACATCTGCCTGGGCGAACTGGACACGTGAAAACACGTGGCTCGCTCGAGACATCCTCCACAAACATTCACATGTTAGATACCACCCTGGGCGGCCTGGACACGTGAACACAGAGACCTGGCCAGGAACGGGCAGCTCTAAAGGCAGCCATGCGCCTGGCAACTTCGGCGTCGCCCATTAGCTACAGAACACGACAACACAAAACACCGAAAACAGTACCCCAATTTGGGGTCGGCGGCAGAGGCGGCAGCCTTTAGATATATATATATATATATATATATATATATGTACACATATATGTATATGCATATGTATATATATATATATATGTATGTCTGCATGTCTGTCTGTCTGTCTGTTTGTCTGTCTGTATTTCTGTCTGTCTGTCTGTCTGTCTGTCTGTCTGTCTTTCTGTATGTGTGTATGTATGTATGCATGCATGTATGGATGTATGTGTGCATGCACACGTATATATAAATAAATATTTATATATATATATATATGTGATCATTTATGTATATAATATGTATATACAGACACGCAATGCATTAATGTGTGCACCAGATAACGCAAGCAATGCAAAGCAAAACAATACAACATAATACAAAGCAATTCAAAGCAATGCAATGGAAAACCATACACATCAACGCAACACAATACAGGGAAGTGCAAAGCAAAGCAATGGTAAGCAATGCACACAAAATGCCAAGCAACACTGAGCAGTCCAAAGCACTGCAAAAGCAACGCCGTGCGGCGCACATCGGGGAGAAGCGATGCAGAGCCGCGCAACATGACGCGGACCACCGCAGAACGGTGCAGAGCAGCGCAACGCGAAGGAATGCAGAGCAACGCCGAGTGCGAGCCTCGCACCGTCCGAGTCAGAACCAGACCTTTGAGCAGGGACCGACCGTCCCGGCATTCCTATAGTCATACCACGACGTGTTCTTAGAACCCAAAATGTTCTAAGAACAAGAACAACGTTCGTAGAACATTAACCCGATGTGATAAAACAAGACAGACTCCGCCAGAACTGTTCTAAGAACATTTCGTGGAAACCACAAAAGGTTCTTAGAACATTCTTTCGTAGGGCTATAGGCGAGCCAGGACGCTTCGCCACCGCTTGAGAGTCACGACCAGACCTGTGCGGCGACGCGCGGCCACCGGCCGGCCGGACCGGCGCACAGCCCCAGCTGCGAGCCTCGCGCAGAGGCCAACTCGCGACCAGAAGGGTGCGGCCACGGGGGGCCGGCACCCCCTCACGAGAGAGGCAGTAATCCCAGGAGGGCAGGCACTGTCTGGAGAGCATCTTGGAAATCGGCGGCGGGTGAGGGGGGGGAGATGAGGAGGAGAAGGCCTTCTCGGAAGGCCGCGGGACTTCTCAGAAGCCCTCGCGCCTTCTGAGAAGCTTGTTGTGTGTCTTCGGAGCGGGCTTAGGAAGCTTCTCAGAAGGTCCGGGGACTTCCGCCCCTTCTGAGAAGGCCTTCTCCTTCTCACTTCCCCCCTCGCTCGCCGCCGAGAAAAACTACGACTTGAGCCCTGAACCATGCCCATCTGCGGCACCTTTCGAGCACGAGCGCATAAGCTGCTACCCCTAAGATGCGCTTTCGCTCCATCTCGAAAAATGACGCACACAGATGTGGACCAGGGCTCCGGCTGTGATGTTCTGTGATGTCTCAATTGTTTTCGGGCGTAGTCCGAATTTGATTCTCGCCAGGTAAACTGACTGAACTGAACTGAACTGAGCTGAACTGACGTGAGCTGAACTGAACTGAGCTGAAAAGACTGGTCGCGTCCATTAAGCGACGGTTTCTTCTCGGCCGCCAAAGGCCGCCTATGGCGCAACCAATTGGAAACAATTTTATTCTCGGCCGCCGAAGGCGCATGGCGCAACCGATAGGAGACGGTTCTATTCTCGGCCGCCGAGGGTGCAACCGCAACCGATCGGAGACGGGCTTATTCTCGGCCGCCGAGGGCGCAACCTATTGCGCAACCGATAGGAGACGGTATCATTCTCGGCTGCCAAGGGCGCCACCTGTGGCGCAACGGATAGGGGGGACGGTTTTATTCTCGGCCACCGATGGCGCAACCTGTGGCGCAAGCGATAGAAGAGGGTTTTATACTCGGCCGCCGAGGGCGCAACATATTACGCAACCGGTAAGCGACGGTTTTATTCTCGGCCGCCGAAGGCGCATCCTGTGGCGCAACCGATAGGTAACGGGTTAATTCTCGGCCGCCGAGGGCGCAGTCTGTGACGCAACCGATTGGAGACAGTGTTATCGGCCGCCGAAGGGGCCACATGTGGGGCAACTGCTAGGAGATGGTTGTATTCTCGGCCGCCGAGGGCGAAACCTATGGCGCAACCGATAGGGGACGGTTGTATTCTCAGCCGCCGAGGGCGCATCCTATGGCGCAACGGATAGGGGGCGGTCTTATTCTCAGCCGACGGGGGCGCAACTTGTGGCGCAACCGAGAGACGGTCATATTCTCGGCCACCGAGGGCGCATCCTATGGCGCAACCGAAAGAAGTCAGTCTTATCCTCGGCCGCGGAGGTGCCAGGAGAAGGGGGATGAGCAGGAGGAAGAGGAGAAACGAGGACGAGGTCCTAGACGAGGACTACGAGGAGGAGCTGGAGCAGGAGGAAGCCGAGGAAGACGAGGAGGAGGACGAGGAGGAGGGCGACGACGACGATCAGGATGGGGAGGAGGACGGGGAGGAATACGAGTAGTACGAGGACGAAAAGTGGGCATTCGAATGCGTGCGGGGCTGCGCCCGATATTTGCTCGCCGTTTGGGCTGGCGGTGGGCCCCAAGCGGCGAGCTGTCTTGTGATTGGCAACCTCGGATCTCAGGCACCCCAACTCGGCCCGAGGACCCACACTTCGGGTCGGGGGGGGGGGGGGTACGGGTTACATGTGTGTTTTTTTACTGCTCCCGGGCGCCCCCCCCAACTGGGAATGGAGGGCCAATTGGGGCCTTCGGATTGGGTTGGGGTGGTCTGGAATGTTGTTTCCCGATGTTGCCTTGCTGTCCGATGGTGTATGAAGGGGCCCTGCAACACACAAATAAATACACACAAATAAAACTATCCCCCATGTTTTCCCATATTTTCTGGGTTGTTGTCTTCCCCCCCACTTCCCATGTTTTCCCATATTTCCGGGGGATCGACGGTTAATTGTGTCTGTGTGTTTCTTTCCCTCCTGAGTGTAATGTTTTGCAGCGTCGGATCTGGGAGCCTCGTGCGCGGCTCTGGGGAGGCGCGGCCAGGGCAAGGTCCAAGCGCACACGCTGCTGCGATCGCGTCGAAATTGGCGATCGGGGGGCCCCGGCTCAGGCATGCGATGCCGGCGGCGTGCACACAGTGGTACGGAGAGGGCGGAAGGCTCCTTAGAAGGAGCGTGTTTCTTTGCTATTTGTCATGTTTGTTTATGTTGCTTTGTTGTATTTGTTTTAGGAGGAGCCTGCTTCTTAGAAGGCGCGGCCCTTACATCTAATAGGCAGGGCGCGCGCCCTCTAGGAAGCGGGGGCGCTCCCAAGACGCCTTCCCCCCTCCCTCTACAGTGCGGGCGCGGCCGCAAGAAACCCTCGCAGGAAACCCAACCCTGAGAACCCGTGCGCGAGGTGCATCTGAGGGGAAACCTGGTGCACCCTGAACGCAACAGCTTCTTCAACGGGTGCGGGAAGTCACCGCGCAGAGCGAGGAGCAAAGAAACCCAAGATACCCTGACGAAAAGCATATGGTTTTTTGGTGCGCGCCCCCACTGTACCCCCCTCTGAGCGCGTGGCCGAGTTTGTTCCAATGCCCGTCGGTCGGAAGAAGTGGACAGAAACATGAAGTAGGCAGGCGGAGCAGGCAGAGTGGGTCCGGGCCCTCCCAGGGAGATGACAGGGCTCGGCCGAAGCGCAGCGACTCTTGACCCAGGACGGCGCTTGACATAGGCTGGGAGCTGGGAGGTCCAGAACATACCCACTCTCGACGACCAGGGTGTGCGGGGGGCCGAGGCAGGGCGAGTGCAGCTGCTGACGAGGAGCGCGCGGAGGCTCTCCTCGAGCGGCTCGGGCAGGCGTGGCGCGAGGCCTCCCGGGGTCTCTGCGACGCCCCGCCGCGCGAGACCCGAGGCTCGCGCGCTCGCTCGGCGACCCTCGCACGATCCGCCGCCTTTCACGCTGACGTCCACGGGGGACCACCCATGGGCCCAGACCCCCGACGTCATGATTTTTTCATGACGTCGACCCCCCGAGGTCTCGACCCATTCCCCAGGACCGGTTTTTCGTCCTGAGTCGTTTTTTGACGGTCCCGAGGGCCGGTAAGGGCCCCCAAAGGCCAAGAATAATGAAAAACCTCCCGTCGTGATTTTTTCATAACTCGAGGGGGTCTGGGGGGTGCGGGGGGCCCCCGGAGTTCCCGACCCCGGTCCTTCCTCCCGAGCCGCCTGCGCCGGGCCCGGGGGCACGGCGAGGGCCCCGGGAGGCCGAGGCCGGCCGGAGGAGGAGGAGGAGGAGGAGGAGGAGGAGGAGGAGGAGGAGGAATGGGAGGAATGGGAGGAGGAGGAGGAGGAGGAGGAGGAGGAGGAAGAGGAGGAGGAGGAGGAAGACGGGGAGGAGGAGGAGGAGGAGGAGGAGGAGGAGGAGGAGGAGGAGGAGGAGGAATGGGAGGAGGAAGGATGGGAGGAGGAGGAGGAGGAGGAGGAGGAGGAGGAGGGCCTCCCGCTGGTGATCGTAGCTACTGCCGTCGCCGGGACGCCCGCTCCCCGTGGACTCTGGCTGGTCTCGCGCGTGCCTCTTTTGCGAGGTGGTCCAGGAGGCTCCTCTCGGGCTGGGCGAAAGGGGGGGATAGCCAAGGGGGCTCACGTAGCTGATTTTCCCGGCGCCTCCCGGCGCCGGAGGCGGCTATGTATCGAGGAGCGGGCCACTCGGTGGGGCCGAAACCAGCTGCATGCAGCAGATTCTGTAACCCCCCCTTTCCCAATCCCCCCCTTTCGTTCGGCCCGATCCTCGATGGTCCTCGCCGAGCAAAAGATTGCACACGGTCCGAGCGATGCCAAGGACTTTGCCACGACGCGAGCATGTCTGGGAGCGAGCCCGCACCAAAGTCGGTGGCGAGCAAAGGGGGATGAGGAGAAGGAGGAGGCCTTCTCAGAAGACGGCGGGGCTTCTCAGAAGCGCTCCGGCCTTCCGAAAGGTGCTTTGCGTCTCCGAGGAAAGCCTGGGACACTCCTCGGAAGGCTGGGGGATGTTCGAGCTCTCTTCGGCTACACGCACGCAGGAGTGCATGACCGTGAGCACAGCCGGCCCGTATCATGAGGATGCGATGGAAGGGCCTCGGACGCCCAGTTCGAAGCTTTTCGACCGAGGAGGCAAGGATGCAAAGGCACCCTCGGGAAGGTTGCCCATCCTTGCTATGCGGGTTGACTGTAAGAGCGACTTTTGGTGCGTGCACTCTTGGGGGGCCGCGGGGGTGCCAAGCACAAGCGCGCAAGACGCCACAGCCGCCTCGCGCTCGGCGATCGGGGGACCCCAGTGGGCCTGCACCGCATCCCGAGATCCGACGTTGCAGAACAATTGCGACATCGCAAAAAGAGTCACGGCCGGAGCCCCAGACCCCATATGTGTGCGTCATTTTGCGAGCCGGATCGATCTGTGAGAGCCCTGGGGCCCGCAGTGGAGCGAAAACGCCCGTGGGGAAACAAAAATGCAACGCCAGGATCTTGGGGTGAGTGTCCTTGATCTCTGCGAAGGCCAGCCCCTGCTCACCTTCCCCCCAGGCTCGCCGCCGACACGAGTCACTACAGCGAAACAGGAGGAGGAGGAGGAGGAGAAGGAGGAGGAGGAGGAGGAGGAGGACGAGGAGGAGCAGGGATCGAGGAGGAGGAGGAGGACGAGGAGGAGCAGGGTCGAGGAGGAGGAGGAGGAGGAGGAGGACGAGGAGGAGCGGGCTCGCCGCCGAACGTTCGTCCCCCCCTCTGGGCCCCTCCCCCCCGGGCGGCCGGCACGCGCCCGTGCCGTGGGGCGCGGAGCCGGCGTTGGGCAGGTCGCGCGACGGCTCCTGGCTGCCGACCAGACCACCAGCAAGGGGGGGCCATAGGTCCCCAGACATCGGGTGTCTGACGGAGGTTTTTCATAGTTTCCAGCCTCGAGGGGCCCTCGCTGGGCCTCGGGACCGTCAAAAAATGACTCGGGATGAAAAACCGGTCCCAGGGAAGTGGTCGGGAGGTCGGGAGCCCGCGTCTCAAAAAAATCGAAACGTCGCATGTCTGGGTCTGGGGTGCAAGGATCAATCAGGAACCGAACTCTCTACACCGGCGCTGTTTTCGGCCCCGTACTGAAACTCGCACGGGAGAGCGGATCCTGGTGTTCACGGGACCCTGGTGTATACACGCGTCGCTGCTTCCCTGGGGAAGCGGGGAAAAAGTATACACCACACCACCCCGACGTCCTCCCCGACCCTCGAAAAAGTTCTGGGATTCAAGAATACACCGCCACTGGCAACGTCCACCAGTTTCCGAATACATGCCCTTCTCGGGCCCTACTAAAGGCCCCCCTCTTGGGCCCCCAAGGGCACCTCTGGGGGCCCTGGAGAGCCCCTGTCCGCAGCCCTCGCTGCCCCCCCCCGCGTTGCCGCCCCTCCCGTTGCGCGCCCTCCGACGCCCTCGGGGCAGGGCGCTGGGCATACCCACCCCGAGATCCTGGCGCTGCATTTCTTTGTTGTCAGAAGGGGCGTTTTCGCTCCATTCTGGGCCCCAGGGCCCTCAGATCGATCCACGTTAGAACAATGACGCAGGGAGATGGGGTCCGGGGCTCCGGCCGTGATTTTCTGCGATGCCGCAATTGTTTTACAACCTCGGATCTCGGGGACCCCTACCCAACCCGAGGACCCACATTTCGGGTTGGGCGGGGTACGGGTTCCATATGTGTTTTTTCATTTTTCCGCAGCGGGGCCCCCCCCCCCCCCCCCCCAATTGGGAATGGAGAGCCAATCCCAGAGATCCGACGTCGTGAATTTTTCAATGCGGGGTCCCCGGAAGTCTCGACCCATTCCCCAGGACAGGCTTTTCATCCTGAGTCGTTTTTTGACGGTCCCGGGGACCAGCGGGGGCCCCTCGAGGCCGAAAAATACGAAAAAACTCCATCTTGGGGCCCCTAATTGGGAATGGAGGGCCAATTAGGGTTGGGTCGTGCCTGTCCCCCGACAGGGGGATTTTGGGCGAAAAATTAAAAATACGCCTTAAATGCTCCCAAAATGCCCCAAATAGCAAAAAAAGATCATCCCCAGACTATTTTTTCACTGTCTTTGAATACTCCTCCTGTAGAAGGACAGGCCCGACTTAAGATTAGGGCCTTCGGATTGGTTTGGGGTGGTTTGGGGATGGTGAGCTCCAGGACGGGCATCAGCTCGAGCCGCACGGCGGCCGGCGCCGCGGTCTCCGCGAGCAGCGCCGGCGCCGGTGCCGGTGCCGCAGAGGCCTCGGCAGCGTCGACGGGACGTCGGCGGTTATGATGCTCCAACCTACTTTAGCCTTGAAGACCCGAAAGAATTTCGAGCACCGGAAAAGAAGTACCGAAACTCGAGGGTTTTCGTGTGTCGGGATCTGGGAGACACTCGTCCGACACTGTTTCGACACTCTCCTGGTGCTCGAAATTATTTCTGGGATGTGGCCCTTGAGTACGATTGGAGCAGCATAAGTCGGGGGTCAAGGATCGAGTAGGCTTAGGTCGGGCGTGTCCCCCTGCAGGCGGATTTTGGACGAAAAATAAAACAGAAAATAGAAGCATATTTCCCCAAACAATGCTGTCTTCTTTTCAATGGTCGAGAACTCGTTCCCCGACTATTTCTTTACTTTTCTTGAATCTCTCTCCTGTGCAGGGACGTGCCCGACTTGAAGAGTAGGCAGACCTGGCAGCTGCGTCTTAAGCTGTCAAACGTTTCCGGCGGCCCACGGACGTTTTCCACAGCGGCTGCGCCTCGTCGAGGGCGTTCCGGGGGTGCCTGCCCAGAGATCCGATGTCGTGATTTTTCCAATGCGGGGTCCCCGGAAGTCTCGACCCATTCCCCAGGACGGGCTTTTCATCCTGAGTCGTTTTTCGACGGTCCCGGGGACCAGCGAGGGCCCCTCGAGGCCGGAAAATACGAACAACCTCCGTCTTGATTTTTCAATACGTTGGATCTCTGGGTGGATCGTCCCGAACGGCCGCTGGAGGACCGAGTGGCGATCCGAGAAGCAGCGGGGACGCGGATCTCCCCTGAGATCCTGTTGTCCCACACTTTTCGAGCCAGGCGTGTTCGCCCTCGTTCGGGCCCGGGGGCCCTCGCAGAGCGACCCAGCTCGAACAATTACGCAGGACGAAGGTGTCGAGGGCCCTGGGCGTGGTTTTCAACAAAGGTGTATTTTTGTTCCGTTCCGTCGGATCTCAGGGTACGACGATGTAGTTTGTGCAATCTGGGCGTTTCTCCTGCATGTCTGCCTCTGGGGGGGCATGCGCTCAGGCCCCAGGACGAGCAAGCACGGGTCCAGGACGAAACCTGCCCACGGGGAAGAGGCCGGGACCCCCGTGGCCGCCCAGGAAGCCCTGAGATCCTGGCGCCTCCCTTCTTGCCACCACGGGCGTGCTCGCCAAGGCTCGGGCCCCGGGGGCCTCACAGATCGATCTGGCTCGAAGCGTGGCGCAGCAAGGTGGGCTCTGGGGCTCCGGGCGCCATGTCAGATGCCTGCAAGGACGCGTCTCGTCGATCTCGGCCTCCATCTATAGGCGCACCGCCTCGGGCCCCGGGAGTGAGAACCAAAAGAGGTGTATTAAGTCGGGCCTGTCCCCCTAAGGATTTTCGACGAAAAATGCAAAATACCCCAAGAATACTCCAAAAAAGTAACAAAATGAGAAAAAAATAGTCCCCTGACTATTTCCCCTGACTATTTTTGGATTGCGTTTTGCTTATTTTTGAAATATTCTCATATGTCGTCGAAAATCCCCCTGTAGGGGGACACGCCCGAAGTGTACTCCATGGACCCCCGGCGCCACTTTTCCGCGGCGTCCACCCCCGGAGGTCTCGACGCCCGAGCCCCGACGCCATTTCCTCGTGACGCCCTCTCTTCGCGACGCCCACTGGACCGGTTCATCCCGAGCCGTGTCTTGACGGTCCCGAGCCCCAGCGAGGGCCCCGGAGATCCTGGCGTGGCAGCTTTTTCACCACGGGCGTTTTCGCCCAACCTCGGGCCCCGGGGCCCTCACAGATCGATCCGGCTCGCAAAATGACGCAGAGAGATGGGGTCCGGGGATCTGCGCGTGACTTTTTGCGATGCTGCATCTTTCTTGCAACGTCGACGTTGCAACAAAAAATGCAATCGGATCTCAGGGGCCCCCAGAGGCCGAAAACATGGCGAGAAGCCGTCCGTGGTGCTGTTTTGCCATTGCTCGAGCTCGAGGGTCTGGGAGGATGGGGGTGAGAAGCCAGTCGTCGCTGCACCCCACGGGAGGGGTCAGGGCATACCCAGACCCCATCGAGTAATGAAAAAATCATGACGGGATGTTTTTCCTAATTTTTCGCCTTTGGGGGCCCTTACCGGCCCTCGGGAGCGTCAAAAAACGACTCAGGACGAAAAACCGGTCTCGGGGAATGGGTCGAGACCTCGGGGGGTCGACGTCATGAAAAAATCATGACGTCGGGGGTCTGGGGAGGGGTCAGGGCATAGGTCGTGAGCGGGCTTCGCGGGCCCGCGGCATCCTCGGGGCGCGACGCCACCGGGCCACTCCCCTCGTCGGCCGGGGCCAGCGCCTCCGCCGTGGCCCTCCAGACGTCCTCCCGGACGTGCTCCAGGCACGAGACCACCGCGCCGAGCACGCGCGAGTCGCCCATCTCGGCGGCCGCGCACAGCGCCTGCAGCGCGGCGATGCTGACGCGCCAGTCGGTGTCCTCCAGCGGCGAGGCCGCCGCGCCGGCGGCCGCCGGGCCCTCCTGCTCCGGGCCGGAGCCCCGGTCGGAGCCAGAGCCGTCCGTGGTGGACAGGTGCTTGGACAGCTGCCTGTATGCTGGCTGCGCGCAGGGAGGCGGCCCCAGACGAGGGAGCGGCCGTCGGTGGGCGGCTTCTTCCGTCGCACCGCATGCAGCGGTCAGTGGAGTCCCAGTGCCCAAATAACAAATAGTCCGGGGACGATCTTTTGGCTATGTTGAACATTTTGGGAATATGTTTCGAATATTTTAAATTTTTCGCCAAAAACCCCCCTGTAGGGGGACAGACCCGACGAAACCCTAATTGGCCCTCCATTCCCAACTTGGGAGGCCCCAGAGATCCAACGCACCGACAAAAATCAAGACGGAGGAGGTTCGTATTTTTCGGCCTCGAGGGGCCCTCGCAGGCCCCCGGGACCGTCAGAAAACGACTCAGGGTGAAAAGCCCGTCCCGGGGAATGGGTCGAGGCTTCCGGGGACCCAACATTGAAAAAATTACCTCGTCGGATCTCTGGGTGCGTGTGCCCGCACCAAGCACTGACATCCGACGTCTGAATGTTTGCAATGCGGGGTCTCGACCCCGACCTTGCCCCCAAGGCCAACTTGTCATCGCGAGTCATGCTTCGTCGATCCCCCGGGTCCTGCGAGGGCCCAGCGGAGGCCCAGCAAAGGCCGCGTGATCTCTTCACGGCGCGAGAATGGCTGCTGCACCACCTCTCTCGGCCACCTGCCCCGAGACCCGACACGTCACAAACAAACAGTGCAGCATCGCAAAACATGTCGACCGGAGCCCCAGACCCCATCTTCTGCGTCAGCTTTCGTGCAGGATCGATCTGTGAGGGTCCTGGGGCCCCGAATCGAACGAAAACCCAGAGATCCGATGTCGTGATGTTTTCAATGCGGGGTCCCTGGAAGTCTCGACCCATTCCCCGGGACCTGTTTCTCACCCTGAGTCGTTTTTTGACTGTCCCGGGGCCCGGCGAGGGCCGCGAGAGGCCGAACAGTATGAAAAACCTCCGTCTTGATTTTTCCAACACGTTGGATCTCTGGGCCCCGGATCGAACGAGAACGCCCGTCGTGCAAACATCGCAGCGCCAGGATCTCATGGGCCCGGCCACCCGAGGGCCCCCAGCGAGCCCGCACCGAAGACCACTCCCGCGAGAGGCCACCCCTGCGCTTGCCATCGCTCCGACGTCCATTCCCCATGTTTTGATTTCGTGCGTGCTTGTCTCCCAGATGATCTACAGTCAACCTGCACAATAAGGACGCACGATAGGGATGCAGGGGCCTTGGAAGGCCACATCGAAGCTTTCCGAGCGGGGCGTGGCCAACGAAAGTGGCCAGGGATGGACGGAAGAGTTGGATCTTCGAGTCGGGCCTCCCCCCAGGGTCTGGGGTTGATGGAATTCTGATGGCAGAACGGCCATCAGGTTTCGATGGGGCGATTTCGTAGCCTGGGGTAAATGAGAATTCGTTGATGGACAACTTTCTGGCGACCCACGGTGCGAGAAACCAGCCATGAGGTTTTGATGCGGCGATGTTGCATCTTTCGTCTAATCAGAACCTATCGATGAGCGGCTTTGCTGCAGCCAGTGGTCCTTGGAAACAGCCACGATGTTTCGTATTGCCCTGCTTTAGCGGGGAGCGGGGATGGCTACATCGCGGCGATCACAGGGCAGCGCGCCCACCGCGCGGGCTCCTCCCTGAATGATAACTGCGATCGGAAGTAAGAGAACGCATTGTGAGATAGGGGTGGGGTTGTGATGGACTTGTTTAAGAGGGCGGCTAAAAAAAAAACGCTCTGGTCAAGGCTCGGGATGGGGCCGTCGCTTCAGGTATGCGCCCGAGCATGAGCACATACTGCCGCGCGACTACCGAGGATACCTACTTACGTCCCACAGCCCTTCTGGGCGATTTTCGATCTAGGGCGCGTGGATCCCTGCCAGGGGGGGCCCAAACAAACCATCATCCCGCGCGCGCTGGGGGGTGGACATCATTGAACATATGCTCGTGAGGTTCCTGAGCAATTCGAGTGACGAAGCCGCAGATTTGGGCTGCGGGCAATGATGAAAGCGCCCTCAGGGGTTGGTGGAACAACAAATTCTGGTTTTGATTGGCGTCACGGCCGCCACAGCGGAAGGGCGCTCGGCCGAGATCACAGAATGCCTCATTAAGTGATCCACGCACCGACCTAATCTAAAATTCCTACTGGGCGATGCCCGCTCTAGAGTTTACGGGTCCCAACTGCAAGGCTCTAGGCGGCATACGTTCCGCGGGAGTTCAGGGGAGACCTCGTCGAACCCCAAGGGGGCCCAAGACACCCCCATAAGCCACAAAGAGGACCCTAGGAGACCCTCAAGAAGACTCTGAGAGGTATCCCAAGAGCCCCTTCATATGAATCCCAAGGTGCCCTGAACAACTAGATAACTGCAACGATAGTCGCAACTTCTGAGTCGTTTTCGGGGCTGGCGGATTGGCCCAAGCCTCTTGAATAAATCTGGCAGGAGGGTGCATGGGGGAGGGGGGGGGGGATGATGGAACGGTCGTTGTTTACCATGGGCCACGGTGCTGCTGCTGTGGCCGAGAAGGTAAGTAAAAAACTCGCTCTCTCGCAGCCGTCGTCGCGGCCGTTGTCGTCCTCGTAATAGTCGACGTCGAAGCACGAGTACCTCGTACTTCGTCACGGCCGCCGCGCGCCGAGTGCTTCTCTCAAGAGACCGTTCCCGAGTTCAGCGCCTTGGCCAGCTCGTCCGACACCTTGTCGAAGATCGGCTTGGCGACGTCGTCCTCGCAGAAGACCCGCGAGTCGTGAACTGTGCCCCGCAAGGTTGTGAGAACCTCTGCCGCGGTGTCGGGCGTGAGCTTCGTCAAGCTCTGCAGGGCCCTTGCCTCCCACAAAGTGGCCTGCGCGCGCCGCTGGCCTTTCTTGAGCTCGCCCTCGGGCTTCGCGAGCTCGCTCGTCTTGTCGCGAAGCGAGGCGTCATCTGCGAACGAGCTGAGCTGCTGGGAGATGATGGCCTCGATATGCTTCAGCTTCGTCGTGATGCCCTTCTGCTTGCACAAGACGCGCTTGTAGCAGTCCTGGAGGCAGTCGAAGTCGTTGGGGTCCGCCGCGCTCGTGGGCAAGTGCTGACCTGAAAGGTCCAGGAGGCCGCCTGCCATGCCGATGAACTCCTTGATCTTCGCCACCGACTCGCACGCCAGGTTGTCCCAGTAGGTGGAGGAGAAGTCTACGAGCTTGGCGGCAATGTCGCCATACACTGCGCTGAACTGTCTCTCGTAAGCCTCGAACTCGGGATTGATCACGTAACCTTCCATGGCGGACGACTTGTCCTGGCCATCGCTTGGCGCGCCCTCAGATCCGTTGGCGGTGGCCTCCGCCTCGCTCTTCTTCCAAACCGCCTCCTTGAACCTGACAGCGGTCGCGCGCAGCTCCTGCCATGCCTGAGGAGCGCCGCGACAAAGCACTCGCAATGCCATCTGCGCCGAACGGATTCCCAAGCCCCTTTCTCGACCCTCCAATCGCATCCTCCATCGCCGTCCCCTTCCAGCATCACCCCTCCGCCCGCCTCCCACATCCCCGCCCGCCCCCCTTCATGAAAGGGGCGCCCAGGAAAACGCGCAGCTTAAGTTGGCGTTGCAAGCCCAACCGCTGCCTCCGAAACCTCAGCTGCACACTCGTCATCCAGATCCCCGTTCTTCTGGTCGAACGTGCTCCGAGCCTTCAGCAGCTTCGCGAACTGGAACAGGGCGCCGATGCGAACCTTAGCTGCCGCAAGGGAAGTGATCGTGCCCCCGCTCGCCTCGATGTTGTCCGTCGCGAGCGCCCAAGCAACGCCGAGGAGCTTCAACATCTCATCGGAGACGAGGTCAACCGCGCATGCGATGTTGAGGGTGTCGGCGGACAAGGCTGCGGAGCGCGACAAGCAAATCTCGACGCACGCCATCATGCTCGCAACCGTGCTGGCCCTCGAACTTCATCCCAACGCACTGCTGGCGAGCCGCGCGCACGGCCGATATCGATTCCTCGTTCTCAGGGGCCAATGCGCGGCGCGCGGTGGCATGTGCATCCTCCTGGGCCGCAGATGCAACGGACCCCGAATACCTGCGGAGCTCAGCCGCCAACTCTTGAAGCTGTTTGAGGTGGGCCGAGGACACCCCCCTGAAGTCGACAGCCTTGCCGATGAACTCCTGGAACCTCGACTCCATTGACCTCAACGCGTCGGGGGCGGGCTGGTCGGCGTAGGACGATGAGTCAGACGATGCTATCTTCTTGACCCAGCTCTCGGGCGACTCGGACATCGCTTTCAACAAGGCGCTGGCCCCACCCGTGCGTAACTGGTTGCCCCACTCGCCCAAGCCGTCGAATACGACCACGAAGTTGTCAATCGTGATGTCGCTCCTGCCCAACAGCTCGGTGAACTCCTTGGCCGCCTTGCCGTGCTTGATGTCGCTGTGGTGCGCCCTGTTGTACTCGGCGAGGCAGTCCTTCAGGCCCGTGCCGAACGTGAAAACGACGTTCCTCCAGTCCTCCTCGCCCCCCTCCTCACGAAGGAAAGCACGGGCCTCCACCCTGCAGGGGCAATCCATGATGGAGGAAGGAGACGCATCCAACAATACCTTCAAGCTCTCCGAGAAGACGTAGAGCTCCTGAGCCACCGCTTTTAGCTCAACGGGAGCTGCGTCGCGTAGCTTATCAGATCCAACATGCTCGCTGAAAGCATCGCACATCTCCAACAACTCATCGACGTCGGCCTCGCGCTTGGTGGTCAGAGGAAGCACGATTTTGTTGATGATGAACTCCCTGCTCACCTTGGCGGCCTTGTCGGGCTGGATCCCGACGAGTGCGAAGGTGGGCCCCTTGACCAAAAACTGGTCCTCGAATGAAACGTCTGTCACCGACCATGGGATGCAGATGTTTACCTTGCCCGTTATCGACGTCGCCTCCCTGGCAGCCGCCGCGACTAACTTCATCTTAAAATTGGGGGCGCCGTCAATATTGCGGTGCTTCAGTTGATCCAGCAAATTGAGCCTGATCTCCCTGCTCGTGGTGTCGACCGCGTCCCCTCCGAGGGTGGTGCATGTCTCTATCAGACCCGCCAACCTCGTCTTTGATGCCTGCACGTTTGAATGGCTCCTCGGGTTGAACCTGGCGAGGGCGTATATCTTGTCCCCAATCCCGTGATGCTGCCCCTTGTTCAAGATGCGGCAGATGTCGATGTTGGCCTCGAGCTCCTTGAAGCGGGCCTTGTCGGGGTCGTCCAAGCCCACGTCCATCGAGCTCTTGCCGCGCCTCAGGGGTATGGTGGCCGCGCTGACAACAGACTTCCCATCGGCAAGATCGTCGTGTGCAGCGCCCGCTGCATCATGAGCTCGCGCTGGCATCGGAATGGCGGGAGAAGCAAACGGCGCCCCTGAGGCCGACTCGCCATCCAGGCCAGAAGCAGCGGCTGGCGAAGACGCGATGTCGCAGATGGCTCTCGGGCCAATGCCCTGACCAGCGAGTGGCGTCTCAGCCCCAAGATCGCCATCACCTGGCCTGTGGGGGGTCGACGGCCCACGAACCAACAATCCCTTGGCCCTCGCTGCCCCGATGGCGCGATTCCTGACCTCCGCAATGGTGGGGGCGGCAACGTGTCCACGTAAGGCAGTCGGCAACAACTCCCTGGTATACTTATCAATCGCATCAGCCATGCCCGAGGCTTGCTGGTCGCGGCAGAACTCCGACGCCTGCAGCGCCCACTCCGAATGAGACCCGTACGTGCTGGACCACTTGCGAAACTTCTCGTGCGGCTGCGACGGGTCCGCCACCAACACGCCTGACAACTTCTCCGAGCGGTGCTCGTTCTTCAGCTCGGTGATGCGCTCGCCAGCGTCCGACGGAACCAATTGGTCTGCGCCTTCGGGTGCGATATCCTTCTTGTACTGCTGCTCAGTGATCAACACGCAGTCCGAGTACACCGTGAAGCCCGCGTCATGCTTCAAGCTCACGTCGTGAGGGCCAGCGGAGGCAAAGGCCTTGCCATCTGAGATCTCGCACGTTGCTTCGAATGCCTCGGCGAGCTGATCGTCTTCGTTTGCCTGTGCGCACATCTGTGTCCACTGGTGATCCAGATGCCACTGGCCCCTGCAATACCCGCGGAAATGGTAGCTGCACCCGTGTATGAACTTAGCAATCGGTTCCCCAGGCATCTTAACATCTGGAAACGCATTCTCCTCGTCCTCGACGCAGGCGCAGTAGCCGCACATGCCGAGCTTCGACTTGTCGATCGGCGTGGAGCTCACGTAGCGGATGAGCAGCGGGCCGACGAACGGCTTCGATGATGTCCCACTCGGCGCTGCCGCGCCCTTCCTCTTCCTCTGCTGACAACCGCTAGGCCCGCCTCTCACAGCGCCTGTTCCCCCGCGGGCCCTCTTCGCCCCGCCTCTGCCTCTGCCTCTGAGGCTGCCCGCAGCACCATCCGCACCGAAACCGCCAGCTACGCTAGCCGCAGCGGCATCATCCTGTCGGCGTTTCCCCATCGCCGCGGTTGCGCAGACTGGCGAGCGAACCTCGTGACACGGATGCTGCAGCCCGTGTGCCACCCGCGATGGGTGGATGCGACTTTGAGCCAAAATGGCTACGAGGTGCGAGGGGAGTTGAGAGGGGGAGTCAGAGGTTCCACGCCCTTGGTTGGCACGCCGCCCATCGACTGACAATGCCTAGCCCCTGGTAGGCGGCGCGCATGGGCGATGCTCAAGCCTCATGCCACAACGTGCCCGTGACTCCAAAGGCCTGGGCGACGCATTGCCGCCCATTCGGAACAACCCTTGCCACAGGCAGAATGCCGCTGCTAGTCCTTATCGTTCCTGGACAGCCGCGAGTCCTGGCGTTCCCCATTGGCCCCCGAAACACTTGCCCGACGAGGGCTCATGAGAGTTCCTGGAGTCGCCCTCAAAGTTCCAAGGGCGCTCTTGAATGCCGTTGGATGACCCCGAACGATCCCAAGAGAGCCCCTAGAGTCCCTGGAAAGCACCGTGGGGCTTCAAGGCAGGCCTCATGGCTTCAAGATGGCCCCGTGCAACACCTCAGGAGGATCCCCAGCTGTCTCAGGACGGCCTCATTAGGATTCTCCAGGTGGCCCTTCAATGGTGTCGAGAGGCCCCCCATCAAGAGTCTCAGGAGGGCCCGCAAGGGCTTCAAGAAAGCCCCGCATTGCCTCAGGAGGGCAACCACCAAATCCCAGGATGGCGCTAGGGTATCAGACAGACGAGCTTTTTGGATTTGCATGGGGGGTCACGCGCGGGGCAGCGACTGAGATTGCCACGATGACAGCAACGAGGATTGGGAGGATGAGGGCGTTTCCAGACGTGAGGGCGGGCGATGGCGACTACAAGAGAAGATGTGGACAAAATATGGCGTTTCTGGCGATGAAGGTTGCGAGGATGAGCAACATTGCGAAGCCTAACCTGGTGTCGATGAGGGTGATGCTAACGAGGGCGAGGGAGCGAGCATGTGCTCAGACGGATGGCTTAGACTGATGGCGACACGGGCGGCAAGTACAATCACTAATGATATGGCGATGACGGTGACGGAACAATAGCCCTTGTGGACCATGAGAGCGAGGTGGGCCATGCAAGGGCCGATCGGTCATGCTGAGGTGATTGACACGGCAAGGAGAAGCGCTGAACTGCCCTTCCCCCGAGATCAATGCGACGACGGGCAACGCAAGCGCGATGCTAGAGAGTCGGCAACGCCGCGAATGACTGGATGAAGGGCTGAGAGAGGAGGGGAGGAGCGGAGCGAGCGGGGGCCGGGGCAGGAAGGGCAATTCGGCACGAGGTAAAGCGGACTGTGTTGTATCGAGTGGCCTCATGCACACACGCTGTGTAAGGAATCACTGAGCAACCTCAGCATGCCGATCACGCTTAAAACCAGTTGGCACTGCGAAATGGAAGGTGGTGCAAGGCATGCCGTGCACTGAATGCTCGCACTGTTGATATGGAAAGCGCGCGATGGCGAGAGTGCCGTCCGCGCGCACTGGTATGTGAGCAGTGCGCCGTAGCTAATACGACCGATCCTATCCTAGCCAGCTTGTGCATCGTTGCGGCTACTACGGCTATCTAAGATGACGGCGCTGCGCCGTTGGGCAAGCCTGCGCTCGCCATGTCTTCGGGGTACGTTGGCGTACTGAGCTCATCGGGGTCTGCGGCTGGCGCTTCCGCTTCGGCCCCTGGCCCTGGTGCCCCCCCCCTCCCCTGATGGGGCGGGCGCGTAGCTGCTGCTGGCGGCGTCAGAGAAACTGGCCTCGGCCTCGGGGGCGGCGTCTCCTGGTGGAACCGCTGGCTGAGCAGGCGGCGGCTGACCCTCCATCGCACGGCCAGTGGCAGCCAGGCACTCCTCGATCTCACTAGAGGCTGCGAAGACCACCTTGACGGAGAACGGCTTCGGCTTGATCGCCTTCCACTGCCCGTACACTCTGGCCATGCGGCCTGGTACTCCAGGTTCGGTCGTCTTCTCGAACGCGCCGATGCCAGGGAGACACACTGTCCCCTTGGCCTCCAACTCACTGAGGAAGAGCGCGGACATGGCCTGGACCATTGCCAGTACACCGACCTGCGTCGAGCCAGTTGTGGCAGCGACCTTGCGGCACAACTCTTGTGGCGCCAGGCAAGAGTGGGCCTTCACCTTCCAGACTTGCGCCTCCGACTTGCCACGGAGTCCCTTTTTCGTTTTCGGCATCTCAAGTCTGGCGGGCAGAAGAGAAGGCCGTGAGAGTCGCACCAACAAATGAAGCTTGAACCCAAGCTTAGATGGCTACGGACGAGGATTGATCCAAAGCTGGGGCCCTGGGGGTCCTAGGGGAGCCAATATCTGATGCCAGAATGCCGAGGCGAGATCACAACATAACTTGCTACGCAACTGGCAAGCGAGACCGCCATTCCAAGCCCGCAAGGGGAACGGAGCCGCCTCGGCGGGGGGCGCCGCGAAAGAAAGGGGCATGAAGGCAACCTCGACGGTAGCGATAGGCGCATTGACGACGTCGTACATCGACACGCACTAGCATGAATGACAACGGTGGCGAACGGGATTCCCCTAACGGCGCGGCGCGTTCAAACCGAGCGTCAGGGCAAGCGCGGGCCACTGTTCCCCTGTACGGCATATGCTGCGCATACAATTTTCGGGATCCAGAATCGCTGACAGGCCCGAGGGGCGAGGAATAAAAAACAAACAAACTATTACATTTATGGACCAGGCAGAAGCACGCAGCCGCGGGGAGCCTCGAGACGCGCGCAGTTGACGCGAAAGAGCGCAGGCGCGCAATCCTTGGCGCGCGTTTTATGGCGCACGCAGAACGCCGCCGCGCTCGCAAGGAAATTCGAAGCACCAACGCACATATCGGGCGCAGGCGGCTGCGCCAATCACGGCGTCGAGAACGCACAGCCCTCACTCGGGCGGCGCAGCGCGCGTAAAAGTGCTGATGGATGCTGGCGGCGCTGGCTCCCCAAAGCGTTGCGCGGCGGGTCCAGCATCTTGCCAGGGGGCCGACGCCCGCGGGAAGGGCAGCGCGCGGCTGGATCGGACGTAAAGCGCCAAGTGATGCGCCAAAGGGCAGAAATCCGCGCCACGCTCGGTGGATTGGGAGCGGCGCTCGGGCACGATGCTGGCAACATCGCGCCCTAACGAAAATGCGACGGGGTCGGCTGGGCGCGGGGCGTGCGCAACGCGCGCGGAGGCCGCGCGGCGTTGCTGTGGCCGTCGGGCGGCGGAGCGCCAGCGCGCTCGAACTCGCGCGCGATGGGCGCGGCCGCGGCGCGCAACCATTGCGACCGCCAGGGTCAGCGGCGCCGCGCGCTCGCGGACGACGCGCCTTGGCGAACCAGCCGCGCGACCGAGCATCGGTCCTCGGCCAGAGCCGTGCCGCCGCGCATGCCGCGGGCGCAGCGGGCGCGCCCGTTCCCGCGCGTCGGGCAGCGCGGCGGCAGGTTGCGCCGCGCTGCTGGCAATCGTGCCGCAGCGTCTACTAGGCGGGGCAGGCCAAGGCACACTCGCATTGCGCCGACAATCAGCGCGCCGCCCTTTCCCAGTCCTATCGCACCAACGCCCAACGCGCTCCAGGTACACCTCGCAAGGGTTAGTACTGACACTCGTCAGCCGCGGCGCGCGCGCGCGGCCGCTGGAAAAAAGTGCTCGCTGCTGCGGCGCGGGCATAGCCCCGCATCGCGAGGCTCGCTTGCGCGCTTTGGCAGCGAATCCCCGAGATGGGGCGACGCGCATCCGCGCCGCGACCTGGCCCCGCGTCGGGCCAGCACCGCCGCGCCCGCAACCGCCCAGGGCGGCGCCGCGACTGACCTGCTGCCCTCCCGAAGCGCCAGCCAAAGCGGCGGCGGCGCGCACCATCCGCGGTGGATGGGGCGGACCAGCAGGGGGGCTGGTCGGGCCGAGGCGCGGGGAGGTTCGACCATGCGAGCGCATTTGGGGCACGGAAGATTCACGCGGCGCCGATAGCGCTGGGGCGTCGTCGCGAACTGAAGCACAGGGCGCTGGCGGCGCTTCGAAGCGCGAGCCCCCGCCAAAAAAAAACTCAGCGCGCGGCCACGTTGGCGCGCTACCTGAACGAGGTGGGGCAGACCAGCGGGGCATGGCAACGGCGGCCCGCCCGATGCGCAGCCCTTAGTGGTGGCAGTCGTGGCGGGCGCTGTTTTCGGAGGGGGGGGGGGGGTACTTTGCAAAATTTCTAACGCCGCCTACCCCCCTGACCAGGGGGGGGTACTTTGCAAAATTCTGACCCCCTTGATGAAAACCCGCGCGGGTCGCCAGGGAGACGCGATGTCTTGATGGGTTTTTGATGGCGTCGCGATGGGCTTTTGATGGTGTTACGATCGGGTTTCGATGGTGTTCTGATGGGTTTCGGTTAAAGGGTGGATTTGATGATCTTTTGATGGTGTTATGATGATGTTATGATCATGAAATTATGACAGTTTGATCAAGCGCGCAATCGCCTTTGGTCAATCGGGATGACCTTTTGATCGGGTTTTGATCAGGTTATGATGATGTTTTGATGGGGTTTTGATCAACGGTGCAAGGCCGCGAGAAGTTACCGTTGGGGGTTCTGATGACAACGACGGGGGCGCGACGTGCCCGTCATGGTCGGCTGGTGGCTCGTTACCTGAACTGCGCGAGCACGAACCGTCGGGCCATGATCGCGCGGCATTGTTGGGGGCGCGCAGCCAGCGGCCCGCTCGCGCGCGCGTCCCCGATCGGCCTCGGCCGACGAGCCGCGCTGCGATCGCGGGAGTCAAGCGACGGCGCGCGGCGAACCCCAGGCCGAGCGCTCGCCCTACCCTAAGGGGCAAACTCCGCGCCGCGGGCAACGACGCATGCAGACGCGGCCGTAAGCAGCCCTGCACCCATCCCCTTGCGCCCGCGCCTCTGTCGCATCCCTGCCGAAGGAGATTGCCGAGCACTAGAACAGGACCTCCCAGGAACTGAAAGAAGACCGCCATCGCAGAAGGAAAGGACTGCCGCCTTGGGGGTTACC